GATGAGATGGCTGGATGGCATCACCAACTCAATGGTCATGAGTTTGAGTGAACTCTGGGAGTTGGTGATGGACAGGGAGGCCTGGTGTGCTGCGATTCATGGGGTTGTAAAGAGTTGGACACGACTGAGTGACTGAACTGAACTGAACTGAAGGAGGTGAGGGTAGGAGGTATATTCAATTGTTCACTAAGCCAAGATACCCAAGTTGCTCTGCCTAGAGGACAAGGTGCTTGTTTATTATTGACCTATCCAGAGAGGCCGTTTTTGCAAATGAATAAGTCAGATAATATAAATTATCTTATATGTAATTAAGTCATATAAATTACCTTATATGTAATTTACAAATAATGCAGTATATTTTTAACTGCAGTTCTGATTAACTATCTTTCTTTAAAAAAGGCTTTATTTTAATCCTTTGGTCAATTCGCACTTGGACCAAACTATAAGACTTCAAGCAGTGGTCAAATCTGTGTGATCATGACCTACATTGAAGAGATCGATGCTTCTGACAAATGTCTTGTTACATACCAGAAATGTGTTTCCACAGTGCCCACACACGACCCTTGTACCTTCTGGCTGGACGGGCAATGCAGGTTGAGCGGGCTGCTCTTCAGAAATAAGCATTACTGGGCCAAGGTTAATTATGCGTCTACTGCGGAAAGAGAAAGGGAAAACCTCATTATCCCACAAATGGAGAGAGGGCAAAACCTACAATGTAGGGCCCAAACATGTGATATAGCATTGAAAATAAGATAAACTTGCTTATAAATTAATTAAGTTTCAGCTTTTAGGGCCAAAATCATAGAAAATAGCAATAGTCAGTATTTTTAAAGTAACAAAACAAGATGGAACTGGACCTAATCAAATCATCTTAGGAACCATTTAACTGCTCCATATAATTTCAAACTTATTCCTCATCTTACCTTATCTTATCTTATCCTATCTAGGAAGACAACTTGAGTTTGATAAAAGACTAAAGAAGTTAAAATATTTTACATTAACATTTATATGTGTGCCATGAAGATACCAAAGTGCTGAGTCAAACCAAAATTTTCTGGGTAGGCTGGTACTCCTTAATATCTATTTCATAAGAGTTGGACAGAAAAGAAAATGGTAGGCTCCTTTCCTTTCTGTTTCCCAAGTTACCGTTAGATAGGGTTTCAACTAACTAACATTCAAGACAACAGAAATCACAGGGAAAAAATACAGTTAAGGTTTTGATATACTCCTGTTTGGGCACTTCCATATGCATTTGGCAGGGGCAAATAACTACAGAATTTATTGTGTAGATTATACTTAGCAAGGACTTCCCTGGTGGCTCAGATGGTAAAGCATCTGCCTACGGTGGGGGAGACTTGGGTTCAATCCCTGGGTCAGGAAGATCTCCTGGAGAAGGAAATGGCATCCCTCTCCAGTATCCATGCCTGGAAAATCCCATGGACAGAGGAGCCTGGTGGGCTACAGTCCATGGGGTCGCACAGAGTTGGACACGACTTTACTCACTCACTCACACTTAGCACAGACTAGTATATGAACACGCAGTAAAGTACACATGATTACTAAAACACTTCCAAATTAAGATGAAATATGTCAAAGATTCAAAGATAAACTAATTGGTTATTTTTAATTAAATATAATGAGTCACTGATTTATTACAGTGTATTAAATAGTTATATAACATTGTTCATTCAAGAATATTAGTTTATGAATACCTGTAACCATTAATTTCAAACTAAGCAGTATCATTCCTTTAACAAAGAAAAAATACTGTAGGTCTTATAATTACTTTGAGGATAAAGACTCTGTTTAGAACAAAACCTGCCACATAATCAGTCTTTAATAAGCACTTGTCAAATGAACAAATGAGTGAACAGATGGATCTTTATGTCTTACCAGTTGGGTCTTGGACATCCTATTCGCCGTGATGTGTCCTTACAAATGAGGAGACAGTTACAAGGGCATCTAACATATTTCTTCCCTGTTGGGGGATTTTTGATTGGCTAGATAAGAGAAGAAAATACAAAGCAAATAAACTGAAGCACAGATTGCCAAAGCTTGTTTGTGTATAAAAAGGAAATGAATCCTAAAAATCTAAGGCTCCGCATAGTTCTACCAAAGTACAGATTAAGGAAAATTACATCATAAATGATTTATTTTATTGAAATATAGTTGATTTGCAACATTGCACTAACTTCCACTGTACAGCAAAGTGACTCAGTCATACATATATATATTCTTTTTCATATTCTATTCCATCATAGTTTGTTGATGGAATGTTTCATATCTATTCCATCATGGTTTATTGACAGACTATTGAATACAATCCTTGGTGCTATACAGTAGTGCCTTGTGTATCCATCGTATATATCAGCGGTCCCCATCCTTTTTGGTATCAGGGACTCGTTTCGTGGAAGGCAACTACTCCACAGACCGGGCAGGGTGGGGGTCGGGGGGAGGTGCGCAGTGCCAGATGTTTCAGGTGTATTACATTTATTATCCTGCTGCTGATCTGACAAGGGGTGGGATTCAGGCAGTGATGTGAGCGACGGGGGGCAGCTGCAAATACCGACGGAACTGTGCTCACTCTGCCCCCACTCACCTCCTGCAGCCTGGCCCGGTGACCGGCCACAGGCCAGCCCCGCCCATGGCCCAGGGGCTAGGGATGCTCGGGACCCCTGCTGGACCTAAGAGTTCGCATCTGCTAGTCCCAACCTGCCAGTCCGTCCCTCCCCGACCCCCTGCCCTCTGACAACCACAAGTCTGTCCTGGATGTCTGTGAGTCTATTTCTGCTTTGTAGGTAGCTTCGTCTGTATCATATCTTAGACTCTCCACATGTAAATGGTGTCATATGGTATTTGTCTTTGTCCTTCTGACTTACTTCCCTTAGTGTGATAATCTCTAGGTCTAGATATTTGTACATCTCACATCTTCTGCATCCATCCGTCAGTGGACATTTAGGTTGTTTCCGTGTCTTGGCTATGGTGAGCAGTGCTGCTGTTGAACCTTTCCAATTCAGATATGTGTGCAGATATTTGCCCAAGAGTAGAACTGCTCGATCATATGGCAACTCTGCTTTTAGTTTTTTTTTGAGGAACCTCCCACACTCTTTTCCACAGTGGCTGCACCAGTTTCCATTCCTACTAATAGTGCATGCTGCTGCTGCTGCTAAGTCGCTTCAGTCGTGTCCAACTCTGTGTGACCCCATAGACGGCAGCCCACCAGGCTCCGCCATCCCTGGGATTCTCCAGGCAAGAACACCAGAGTGGGTTGCCATTTTCTTCTCCAGTGCATGAAAGGGAAAAGTGAAAGTGAAGTCGCTCAGTCGTGTCCAACTCCTAGCGACCCCATGGACTGCAGCCCACCAGGCTCCTCCGTCCATGGGATTGTCCAGGCAAGAGCACTGGAGTGGGTGACCATTGCCTTCTCCAAACAGTGCATGAGGGTCCCTTTTTCTCCATACCCTCTCCAGCAATTATTATTTGTAGTCTTTTTAATAATGGCCATTCTGACTGGTATGAAGTGGTACCTCATTGTAGTTTTGATGTGTATTTCTCTAATAATTAGTGATGAATCATAAGTGATTTTAAACAGCTCAAGTATTTGGAAACACTCTATAAAATCTGGGGGACTGCAGAGATTGAATTATGAAGGGCATGTTTCAAAATTAGCTTGTATTGGCCTGGAATTGTCTTCCATTTGAAGTTCACAAGACAGGGTCATCCATCTGCCTGGCCAGGGGTTTCTGCACATGTCTGAGGAAAGCCAGTTCAAGAATAATAGGGAAAGAGAAGCACATAACAAGTTTGAAACTTATTACAGCTCTTAATGCTAGTATTTCTTCACAGTGAAGTTAAAAGCTAGACTAAGTAACACTAAAGAAAACACTCCTTTCATTACTAGGATATAAGCTTGTTAAAGTAAATAAGCTATGCTGCAGTGAGAGGAACAGAACACCACTCCTGCAGCATACTTGCCAAAGGTGTATAACCTGCTTCTAATCATGAGAGAGCATCAGACAAACCCAAACAAGGAACATTCTACAGAATATCTTACCTATACTCTTCAAAATTGTCAAGGCAATAGAAGACAAAGACTAAATTTCTGATTAAGGAAGATTAAAGAAACATGATAACCAAATGCAATATATAATTTTTATATATTTTTATAATTTTTATAATATTAAATATATTTATATTTATTATATCTAGATGTTACATAATATGTTAAATACATTTAAAATTTTAAAATAATTTTTAATTGACTTCTGGATCTGATTTTCTTTTTTCACTGAAACAATTGGGCAAATATGAACTAACCTGGGATATTCCCAGCAGTCCAGTGGCTAAGACTCTGTACCCCCAATGCACAGAGCTGGGATTTGATAACTGGCCAGGGACCTAGATCCCACATGCACAACTAAAGGTCCTGTGTGTTACAACTGAGACCCAGTACAGCCAAATAAATAAATAAAAATAAATATTAAAAAAATCATGAATTAAGTCAAAAGATTAGATAACAACATTATATCAATGTTCATCTCTGATTTTATAACTTACTATAATTATATAAGTGAAAGCTCTTTTTATTTTTTTAAGGAAATCCTCATTAAAATGTTCAGGGGTTGAAGTGCACCATGTCCACAATTACCTTAAAAGGTTCTGAAAAAATTATTTATTTATTTGGAGAGAGAAAGCTACTTTGTAAAATATCAATATTTACAGAATGTGGGTAAAGAGCCTACCCTATGGGGATGCTCCATACTATGTACTATTATTTTTCTAGCTTTCTGTAAGTCTGCAACATGTATTTTTTTTTAAGATTTAAAAATTTTAAGTAAATAACCTTGGTAGAAATATGTATAAGTTAGCAATAAGTCAACTGTAATTTATTAAACTATAATAGAATCTGACAATCTAAAATATCCAGAATATATTGCTATACAATATAAAGTATCAAGAACCAGAATTTGTGTTAATTTCTCTAAATGCATATTTACCATTAAGTAAACATGTTGACAGAGCTTCCTTGGTGCCTCAGACAGTAAACAATCTCCCTGCAAGGCAGGAAATTCGGGTTCTATACTGGATTGAACCAGGGGTTCTCCATGTGTTGGGAAGATTCCCTGGAGAAGGGAATGGCAATCCACTCCAGTATTCTTGCCTGGAGAATTCCATGGACAGAGGAGCCTGGTGGGACATGACTGAGCAACTGACTGACTGACAATGGAATATTACCCAGTCATAAAAAAGAATAAATAGTGCCATATGCAGCCATATGGATGGCCCTAGACATTATCATTCTAAGTGAAATGTCAGGCAAAAAAAAAGACCCATATCATATATTATTGCTTGTACATGGAATCTGAAAAAAATGATACAAATGAAGTTATATGCAAAATGTAAATAGACCCATAGACATAGAAAGCAAACTTATGGTCACCAAAGTGGAAAAGGTGGAGGAATGAAGGATAAATTAGGAGTTCTGGATTAAACACACATACATACCATATACAAAACAGATAAGCAATGAGTACCAACTGGATAGCACAGGGAATACACTCAATATTTTATAATAACCTATAAGGTAAATGAAGATGAAAAATTATATATATATATATAAATCACTTTGCTATACACTTCAAAGTAGCTCAGCTGATAAAGAATCCCCCTGCAATGCAGGAGACCCCAGTTCGATTCCTGGGTCAGGAAGATCCCCTGGAGAAGGGAAAGGCTACCCACTCCACTATTGTGGCCTGGAGAATTCCATGGACTCTACAGTCCATAGGGTCACAAAGAGTTGGACACAACTGAGTGACTTTCACTTTCAAACTAACACAACATTGTAAATCATACTTCAGTAAAAAAAAAATTGCAAGGTAAAGTAACAAGTTCTGATGTAGAAACTGCAGCAAGCTATTCAGAAGATCTAGTTAAGCTAATTAATGAAAACAGCTACACTAAACAACATAGTTTCAACATATTTTCTTCTTCCCTGTATAGGAGAAACATGTCATCTAGGATCTTCACAGACAAAAAAGAGAAATCAGTGCCTGATTCAAAGCTTCAAAGGACAGGCTGACTCTCTTGTTAGGGACTAATGCAGCTGGTGACTTTAAGACGAAGCCAATGCTCATTTACCGTTCTGAAAATCCTAGGACCCTTAAAGAATTATGCTAAAACTGCACTGCCACTAGAACAAAGTCTGGATGAGAGCACATCTATTTACAGTATGGTTTATTGAACATTTTAAGTCCATTGTTGATGCCTAATGCTGAAAAAAAAATTCCTTTCAAGATGTCACCTCCTATTGATAATGTACCTGGTCACCCAAGAGCTCTTACAGAGATGTACAATAAAATTAAGTTGTTTTTCACGCCTGCTAACACAACATCCATTCTGCAGCCTATGGATCAAGAAGCAATTTCGACTTTCAAGTTTCATTTTATAAGAAATAGATTTCATAAGGCTACAGCTGCCAGAGATAGCAATTCCTCTGATAGATGTGTCACTGTGGATTTAACCAACAGCCTAAATCTGGCTCTTTGAAGTGATGAGTTCATACTGGATCAATAAAATTCGGCTATAATAAGCTACTTCTGGACATAAAATTGGGCTGGAATTTTTATATGATTTGTTGTTGTTCAGTAACTCAGACGTGTCTGACTGTTTGTGACCCCTTGGACTGCAGCACACCAGGCTTCCCTGTCTTTTACTGTCTCCGAGTTTGCTCAAACTCAAGCCCATCGAATCAATGATGCCATCCAACCATCTCATCCTCTGTCTCATCCTCATCTCATTCCCTTCTCCTCCTGCCTTCAATCTTTCCCAGCATCAGGGTCTTTCCCAATGAGTCAGCTCTCAGCATCAGGTGGCCAAAATATTGGAGTTTAGGCTTTAGCATCAGTCCTTACAATGAAAATTCAGAGCTGATTTTCTTAAGGATGGACTGGTTTGATCCCCTTGCTGTCCAAGGGACTCTCAAGAGTTTTCTCCAACACCACAGTTCAAACGCACCAATTCTTTGGTGCTCAGACGTCTTTATGATCCAACTCTCACCTCCTTACATGAATACTGGAAAAACCACAGCTTTGACTAGAGGGACCTTTGTTGGCAAAGCGATGTGTCTGCTTTTTTAAATATGCTGTCTAGGTTTCTCATAGTTTTTCTTCCAAGAAGCAAGTGTCTTAATTACATGGCTGCAGTCACCATCCACAGTAATTGTGGAGCCCAAGAAAATCAAGTCTGTCACTGTTTCCATTTTTCCCCCATCTATTTGCCATGAAGTGATGGGACCAGATGCCATGATCTTAGTTTTTTGAATGGTGAATTTTAAGCCAGCTTTCTCACTCTCCTCTTTCACCTTCATCAAGAGGTTCTTTAATTCCTCTTCGCTTTCTCCCATTAAGACGGTAAAGGATCTGCCTGCAATGCAGGTAGACCCAGGTTTGATCGCTGTGTTGGAAAGATCCCCTGGAGAAGGGAATGGCAGCCCACTCTAGTGTTCTTGCCTGGAGTATTTTGTGGACAGAGGAGCCTGGCAGGCTACAGTCCTTGAGGTGGCAAAGAGTTGGACACGACTGAGCAACTAACACTTTATATGATTACTACCCCTAACAAGCAAAGAAATATAAATAATTGTGAATATTCTGGAGAAAATGAATAGTATTTAATTAGATTGCCTTGTATGGAATTAGTAATATTACAAGGGAGGAAAATAAGGTGGAAAGAAACACGAACACTTTAAGGAATGTTCTCAGGCTTCCCAGGTAGCACTAGTGGTAAAGAACCTGCCTGCCAATCCAGGAGAGGTAAGAGATGCGGGTTCAAACCCTGGGCAGGGAAGATCCCCTGGTGGAGGGCATGGGAACCCACTCCAGTAGTCTTGCTTGGAGAACCCCATGGACAGAGGAGCCTGGTGGGCAACGAACAGTCCATAGGCTCCTCTGGAAAGAGTCAGACACAACTTAACATGTACATACATTCAGCTGAACACTGAAAAACAAAATAGCTAGTTTTGTAGGTATCATCTATTTATACAATAAAGTTCCCTAAATAATATCTCTTATGAAAATGAAATACATTGCTTCATGACTTAAGGTTTCATTTTATAAATGAAATACATTGCTTCATGACTTAAGGTTTTATTTTATAACTTTTCCACAAAACATATAAAGTCCCCCATATTCATCTTTTATGGTTCTTAGAGACACAATAATCATTGGTTGACTTTTTAAAGACTTTTTCTAAAGAGAAAAAAATGCAAATGCCCAAAATAAAATTATTAATTAATTTCAAATTTTGAGAGATTGAAAAGTTAAAGCTAAAGCCTAACCATGAAAGCAGAAATATATTTAACCAGTATACACTTAACCAGTTTATTACTTAAAATCTTAAAAATCTTACTTAAAATTGAGCTGCTCTTCCCAAAGTTCAGTAAAAATTTTAAAAAAATAATTTAGTGATATTAATCACTAAATTAATATAAAAAATGGAATAATATACAAGTTGTTAATAAGCACTTCAACACAAATGTCAGTAACAAACTCACAGTCACAAAGTCCCAGAAAAACCATACTTATATCCTACAGGTGTAAACAAGTTTAAATAATTTTCCACATAAGAAGTACAAAGTCCACATTCATAGGGAACTTCAGTATATTTCATTTTGGTAAAAACCAGAATAGATTCAGTTGAGATGTGGATAATACTGAAGATAATTATAAATGATTGCTCACATTCAGCCTCATTTTAGAAAATAGAGAGCCAAATGGCATTACATTTAAATTCATCATGAAATTTTCATAATGGAGCTAGCTTTAAACACTGGAGGCATCCTTGTATGATAAAAGAGAAACAGAGGGAAGAAAGAAACGTTAAAAAAAAAAAAAGGCCATTTCTGTATCCAGCCCACATCTAATTTAAGTAACATTATTGATACACTCTCTTACGGAGAAGATTTTAAATAATAATTTGGGCTTTATTAATGAAAATATCCACTTACCGTAGCTTCATTGCAAACTGTGCACTTAACCACATGCTGGTGAAGCTTGCCATCCAAATTGATGAGAGACTGGCACACACGGCAGTTTATGACTGGAATACCGCTGGCATCTGGGCTGACAATGGCTGTATACGGAGGCGGGAGTTCCGCTAAAAAGATAGTAGCCACTGAATCAGTCTCAGAGTTATTACGACTGATTTGAGCATATGAGCAATAGAAGTAAAACAGAAAACTATTAATAAGTATATCTCCTGTTCTTTATGTTTTTAAAGTTGGCCAACATTATATAGTTTCAGAACAAAAACACACATAGAACTATCACAAAGTAGGATAATTCCTAACTCCTAAAATCCAATTCATGCTTACCTAGGTTCACATCTTTTATTAGCCTACACTCAAAAAATCCACTCCATTCCTATGTGCAAATGCCTAGAGTTTATAATAGGAAAGTGATGATTTATGCCTAAGGTAAAAAATCTTACACTAATGATCTGACTCCTATGAAACAGAAATAGTCAATGAGGACAGAGTTTTAAAATCACTTATATATATATGCATAAATTGTATAGTCGCTGAGGTCTGTTTATACTAGAACCAGTGTAATAACTGCTGAATATGATAAGAACGAAATTGAGGTTTGGTGGCAGTCAAGAAGAGACAAAAATGAACTTAGGAAAACTAAACTTACCAACAAGGAACATGTTCTAATTTAATGGAACTATGCTAGTTTCAGACAAAAACAAGAATGAAGTAAATTCAATAATTTTTGTCTCAAACTTTCACCTAACATTAAAATTCTAGGAAATGTTTCAAAGTATTTATGGGTAAAAATATGTTACCTGGGATTTAGTAGAAATGCTGCAAGAAAAAAATGGGTTAATAGATGAAACAGAAGCAGCAAAATGATGATATTAAAGACACAAAAGATATTTTGTTATTACTACTTTGTGTGTGTTTGGAAATTCCCAGAATACAAAGATACACAAGCGCACACACACAAACATACATGCACACACACGGACACACTATTTTTTTTGAGAGTCCTTAAGATGACTGATTGGGTGATTGGGTAAAGGGTAGAAGCCCAACTTCAGAACTGTGTTCCTCAACCAGAAGTATTATTTGTTACAAAGATCAGAGAAAAGGAAGCTAAATATACTATACCAGGATGGAATTTCTAAAGGGGACTTGCCTAACCTCATTGTGTGGCTATCTTAACTACAGGCACAGGAGGCCCTTTCAAGGCAAAGTATTGTCACAGGCCACCTAGAAAAGTCTACACCTCAATACACGATTGAATCCCCACTAAAGAGAACTGATAGGTTCAGAGGCTTCTGTGACACTACAAAATACAATCACAGTAGCTAATCACGAAAAGAGATATTTTTGAAATAGAGATTTTTCTATCCAATGGATTAGATTCTGAACTCTGTGATACTTTGAGCTGATAGAACTGAATTAGGGAACAGCACATTATGGTATGTTCAAAAATACCACATATTACCACCTGGCAGGCTTGGGGTACATCATGGAGATATATTTAGACTTAAAAAGGATTAGTAACAAGTGATATTCATTCAAATATTCATAATAAGCCAAATTTCTGTAGCAGTTAAGTCTTTGAAAGAGGCCACATTGGAAATGATAATATGCGCACATCTCTGGGAGGCTTATACCAGGATGCTGCCAAACACTGAACTTAAAAAGAAGCTGTAGATGTCTAAATTATAAAAATAATTTTAAATCCTTGGAAGAATTTAAGGCTGATGCGGTGACCTGTAATGTATTAATCAAGAAGAAAAAAATGAGTTAAAGGATCAATGTGTCAGCAGTACATTTGAGCCCCTTGCAATTTGCAGATTACTCTATCAGAACTCAATAAAGACAGTATTGTCCTGGGAAATAGAATACACACCTTACTAGAAATTCAAGACACACTGCCTGGTATGCAACAATAAATATTGCTTTAATAACAGTTAGCAATAGCATTATTAATAAAAGCTTCCTCTTTTGCCTTGAGGATGAGGGGGAAAGGCCACATATTAAAGCCACAAATAACGATGGTAAAATCCATCCATTTCAACAGGCAAAAGTTTTGCTCAATGGAATCTTGTAAAGATTTCAATGGTTGATCTCTGAAGCATTTGAAGTCTATCAGAACCAACAAAATCCTGTGAACTTTTCCTCTAAGATTTGCACTACATAATTTTTAACCTGTAAAAAAAGAAAAGCTTTCAATGACAAAATTATGATCAAACCTTCTGGAGGTTTGGGAAATTGAAGGAGGGGGTAAAGAATGAGTGAGCATTAGAAGTCTAATGGGACTTATGGGAGAGACTAAAGCTTCCATGAGGCCAGGGCCATGTCTGACTTGCTCAGGTCAGATTCAGCGCTTGTCACAGTGCCTGATCTATGGCAGATGCTCACTACACATTTACGGAATGAATGGTGGGTGAGTAAGTGAATCACTGAAATTTAATGGACTCGTCTATTTCTCTTGGGAAAATGACACCGAAGTATTTCACCACCACTCTCCTTAAAGAGGAGCTGGGATCTAGCAGTGGAGCACAGCTTGACTGTGAAAAAGGCTTTCTCCTGTATGTAGACTAACCGCTCCAAAACACCCACAGGTGTTTTGACAGGGAGGGGATTAGGAGACATTGGCCTGGTCCGCCAGATAAGTGCAATCAACCCAAGAGATCAATAGAATGACAGATGTTACAGCCTAATCGCTCCACTAAACAGTGCTTTCAGGCCTACCGTTTCCATTTTCTGTCCATTACTTCAGCCCTAAACTGATTTAGAGATATATCTTGTACTTTTATCTCAAGGAAACCTTCACCTAAAACTATAACCCCTCTTGAAAAGGACTTGTAATTCTAGAAGTTTGTTTCACAGTCAGTAAACCTGCAGTAATTAGCAACTTAGATTGTTCATTTTATTTCTTTTCACTTTAAAACAGCCAACAGATCACCACTATTATATCTATTTTAAATGTTTGCCCTGTGTCTAAAAAGTCCACTGCAATCTCAGAATGTGGGATCGCTGGATATTAAGAGACACAAAAGTTCTTCATTTTGGAAGAGTCTTACCTGTTATTTAAACAATAATCATTTTTTCTATGTGGGTTGCCTAAGTGAAAAATTTTTTCCCTCCATGTGAACAATATTTATTAAAGCGGTAGTCTTCAAACCTGAACCACTCTGCACAAAGTTCCAGAATTGTACAATGTTAGAAATTTATGCAATCTTAGCCTAATACATAGCCTAATTTATTCATTTTATGGAAGAGAAAACTGAAGCCCTAATATTCTAACTTTTGGATAAACTTTTATATAGCACTTCAGCAAAACCAAGAGCTGAATCTTCCCCAGGGGTCTCTTCATGATGAAAGCTGCCTTTTTTAATGAGTAATGATTTAATATATGGAAAAGATTTAAGGACTAGTTAAAGGGGACTGGGGGATAAGAAAGATTAGTCAGGGAAAATGAAGATTAGAATATAATATGAAGAAACAATTCGTTCATGATAAAAATTTCATAGAAAAACAGACTCATAAAATAGACAAGATAAAATAATATAGACCACAAGACACACATAATGGTCTTCCTTAAAGCACTCAAAAAGAGCCATTATTATTCTGTAAACCCAAAGTGATCAAATTACACTTTCCCATCATAAACACTGACCTGAAATTTATCTATTTCAAGCCAAAAAAGTCCCTATTTCCAGCTAAGTCATTCTGGTACAATAATCCATACTTCATTCTTTACCAGATGTACTCAGATATAGCATTTTAAAGGTTGAAAATGTTTTGCTGGATAACTCTGGTCTTTATTACCTCAGTTATCCCCTTATAAATCTCTGCAACGGCAATATCGTCCAGTTTAATCCACTTATTTCACTAATATACTCTTCATATGCATTTGTTCAGGCTCTTGACAAAGATACTGTATCAGAATTGAAAAGTGACATCAGATTAAACTAAGAGGTATTTTATAACACCATGATTATAAGATGAGCAAGAAAAGTATAAAGAACCAGCCTGCAAGGAAAACTCTGGCTTTTTCTCCTCCATAGGATCTTTGTAAACAGCATAGTCAGGGGCAGGGTGCACCCAGATGCTATGGAATATGTAGTTCCTGTATAAAATGTCTCTAGTCCAGCTCAACACAAAGAAAGAGAAGACCACCTTCTGTTCCTACCCTCTCTGAAACCAAAGGAATAAGATTATTCCAGGAGGCTCCTGGGTTCTTCTAGAACCATCATACCCTCAGAAGGATCCATCTGGCTGAAGCCAGTTTGCACGGTAAATGTGCTAGCTATTAGGTTATCAACTCTCAGCTCCAAATTCACATTCTATGCTTTGTCATACCGGAACTAAAACTCTGCAAACCACATTTTTTCTTTGCCAGTTGTCTGCAGGTTATATTCTGTTAATAGGAGGGGATAAAACAGAAACTGCAAGGTTGAAGAAAAAAGAAGGGACTTGCACTATTTTCCCCAGGTATATAAAATCTTTCTTCAGAGCTCAGAAAAACATCAGCACCAGCTGGTTGGTGCCTCTTGGAAGTCATGTTTCAATTATGTTCCACTAAATTACTAAATTTTATTTTTTTTATTTTTTTAATTGGAGGAAAATTGCTTTACAACATTGTGTTGGTTTCCGCTATACAACAATGCAAATCAGTCATAATTAAATACATACACACATATATATGTATATATATCCTCTCCATCCATCCCAGCTCCAGACAGGGCTCCCTGTATCATACAGCAGTTTCTCACTAGCTATCTATTTCACGCATGATCTTGTATATATGTCAATGCTATTTTCCCAGTTTGCCCCATCCTCTGCTTTCCTTGCCACAAGATCATTCTCTACATCTGTGTCTCCATTTCTTGCATGGAAATAGGTTCAACAATTCAACAATACTCTATTTCTAGATTCCATATGTATGTTTTAATATACATTGTTTTTTTCTTTATTATTCATTTCACCCTAGGTTCATCCACCTCTCTACAACAGACTCAGATTTGTTCCATTTTATGGCTGAGCAGTATCCCAATCCTCTTCATCCATTCATCTGTTGATGGACATCTAGGTTGATTCTGTGTCCTGGCTCTTGTAAACAGTGCTGAAATGAACA